TTTATATTATCATGTAAACAACTTGGTCTTCTCTCTAATTGCTTAAATAATCCCGGCAAGAAAAAGACAATACAACCAATCTGTATTATAGTAGTTTTGAAGATAAGATCTATTTGTCGTTGTAATCCAAAAGCCTTTGAACTTAAAACTATATATGTCTTTTTCCATCAGCTAATATATATAATCTAACGGAGGACAAAGAGAAACCATAAATAACTACCATTTGGGGATTTTTAAACAAAATTTGATGGCCTTGCTTCTTCCAAATTTTTGTGACTAGAGAAAAGCCTCAACTTGTACATGTTACGCTAAGTTGAGTTGCTATATACCCATTTGCAAATTGGATATATAAGAGTTTCATTTCATAACGTTACGATTATATTTCGTAAGAGATTGTCTTCTAGGAGACAATCTCAGGTCAGATTGTCTGCTAAAATTTCTTTTTCTTTTTTTTTTTTTTTTTTTTTGTTTTGGATAAACAATCGTCACATTATACAGTCAAATTTGTCGTTGGGCATGGCAGTGTGGACCAGTCGAACTGTGAACCCCATCAAGCTTTTGCGCTACATTACCTCCATAGCGAATCTACCAAAATTGAGCCTACCACTGGATTGTTATCTTCTAAAATTGACGTGCAATAACTAAAATCTCTTATAGTTTGTCCAGAAAAAGAATATTGATCAAGTACAGTAGCTTATTGGGACACTTAAAAGATTGCACCTGTTTTGACCATACATAGTTCACACCTTTGTCAAGGTTTTTGCTGAATTAAAAGAAAGAAAAAAAAAAGAATCTTCCGTAACATTCCATCCTCCATTTCAAAGTGATAATTCCGGTGCCTGCCAATGGAACAAAGAGGACCCAACTCAATTCTATTCAAAGGATATATTTATGTCAACGTATATTCAATTTTGTATAGTCGAACAAGGGTCCTAAAGTGGGCTGTACATCAAACTATGAATGCATTCTGAAAAGAGAAGAATCCAATGGTGGTACGCCTTTTTTAAGTTTGTTAGTGTTGGTTTTTGTTATTCAGGATGAAGAAGACAAATCACCCCTATTTCGGCTTTTTGAAAGGCTGCAAGTACTTCCTGATCAAACTTCCTGGCCAGCTCCATAGTTGCATAGTGAGGCAGAAACACAACTCCATTCTTAAAATCTCTGCAAGCACGTGACTACAACCATCTTCCACCTCACATCAGGCGTGCTCGCTCTATTTTTGTTTCCTTTTTTTTTTTTTTATATGGTGGAAGTGAGACTGATTAGTTCTTAAAACGGCCAATGACAAGCGTCGTTAGTTCTGATTAGTTCTTAAAACGGCCAATGACAAGCGTCGTTAGTTCTTGCCATGAGTTGCAGCTTGACCAAACCTCGGTAGCAATGTTTAGATGATCACTTTTAGTCTTTGTAATTGGATAAGGAGTTGGATAGATGTGAAACACGCAGAAGATTTCCAAGATCGCTGTTTTTATTATTATTATTATTATTATTATTATTATTTCTGAATTTTCTTGTTACTTCACCTTTTTAAGACCATGTTCAAAACGTTGTTAGTAAGTCAAATCAAATGTGCAGTTGAAAAATATGCACCCAACGCTTATACTTTTAAAGGTACGGAATAAGTATACATGTATTTTAGAGGGATTCAAATTTATATACACCTTCTTATTCAATCTTTTCTTTTAGAGTTTTAAGAAGAGATAAAAACGAAAAATGAGGGAGAATAATTAGACTTTATAAGAGATTAGACTTCAATCTTAAGGTTGATATCTTAAAAAGTGGCCATCTTTATATGTCTATGATTATATTTATATTTAGACAATGAATTTATCTTTAACATTTTAAAATACTTTTAAATTTATGCTAATTTTTTTTCTTTTTGGGGTGAAAGGTGGATTTTGACTAAAAAGAAAATGTAAGTTTCTTTAAAGAAAAAACTTTAACTCAATTCTAAAACGAAAAATAAGAGGGGAAAAAAAGGATCAATGGGAGGCTTGAAAAAGAGACGAATTTAAGAAACTGAAAAAAAAATAATAATTTTCTTTTTGGATATTGTCTTTAGGGAGGGCGGGTTATGAAGCAATAGGCTTAGGGGCCACCACCATAGACGACAACGTATGAGTGAGAAACTGACGAAGTCTAGATCTGTTATTTCTATTTTCTATTTTAGTAACTGTCTTTTCATTAATAATTTATCATGTTATTTAAATTTAAAATTTTAACCACATAAATAAAAATAAAATATTAAAAATATTTAAACAATTCACAATATATTAAAATTTAATTAGAAAGATAACTACCTAAAAAAATGGAATTCGTATTTGACAACACAAGCACAACTCAAACATCATCCTCACTTCTTTTTTATCCACTCGGGTCTCTTTATTTCTTTTTCTTTTTCTCCCTTTTCTTTTTGGGTTCCAAACATCATCCTCACTTCTTTTTTATCCACTCGGGTCTCTTTATTTATTTATTTTTTTCTCCCCCCCCCCCCATGAATGTATAGAAATGGCTCTGGTAACCAGGACTATTATAAAATAAATTTGTGATAGAAGTTGCTTGGAGCAAAGCTTCCATTTTGTTGTTTATTTGATTTCGTTTGTTTCTTTTCGTTGATTTTGATCTTTGCCATTTTTTTAAAAGTTTTTCTTTTTATTATTATTTTTTCTTTCCTTAAAGACATTTACGCGCGATATAAAATTTTGAAAAACTATTCTCCGAAATGTATAGTGTAGTTTTTTACAAACTCAAAACGTATCAACGTAAGATATAAAATGTTAAACAACACGAAATATAATCATGATCTATGAATGCTCAAGTAAAATGGAACAAAAAAAAAAAAATTAAGATAACACAAAAGAAACAACTAGGAGTGATTAATTGGTTGAATTTGGTGGTTGGAATTGGATCAGATTATTGATTTGAATAGGATGAAACTTGATAGTTATTATAGGACAATTAACACTCACAACCTGTGTTTTACTAAAATAGCAGAGAGACCCCCTTAATACCCCTTATAATTCACGTTGTTAAATTTAGATATGAAATGTCAAAATTATTTCTTTTAATATACGCTTGGTTCATAAATTATAATTATGATATTATAATTATTTTTTATTTACGTATATTTTTAATAAAAAAAAATATTATACGAATTATGAACCATATTTCAAATTATAACGTGAATTCCCGTACTAAACGTCTCCTAAATATCAAATCTCAGCCCTCCGTTCAATCTTATTCATTTGAAGAAAAGAATAACCCTACATCAGAGTATAAGTCAGCCACCCACCGGCGCCCCTCTCCCATCCCACCTGCGGCCAGCCGCCAACCCGCACGATGCCACCCATGCCGAGGCCACCCACGCCGACGGAAAGTCGTCTGACCCCAGCTGCGACGACGACAACCCGTGCTATTGTTCAAGTTTCAGAAAAATCAAAACGATGGGCGACGGGAGGCGGCCGGGGAGCTTGCGTCGGCGACTTGCAGAGACGGGCGGGTATGGGATCTGGTCTGATGGGTTTCCCTGTCTTTGTTTGCTATTTGTTGAACGCCTTTGCTGTTGTGGAGTTAAATGCGCTTGATTGTGCTGTTCTGTTTGTTTGGGAAAGGAATGTGAGAAGAAGATGAAAATGAGTTTGTTGTTTGGACTCATTGATTGTCCATGTTCCACCATATACACGAAACAACATAGAGTTGAGGAAAATCATCAAGAAAAATAGTTAATACCGTTAAATAGGCCTTTTTTAGCTTGAACAAAATATATCAATGTTCATATGGCTTTTGATCTGATATGGGTTTAGAGATTTTTTTTATTATTATTTTTAAGATTTGTTTCGTTTATGATCAATTATAGTCGGTGTTTTTTTTTTAAGTTTTTTGATGAACTGATCAATTATACTCGTTTTTTTATTATTATTTTTTTGCTAATGACGTTTTGTTTTTATTTGTTTTGCTCTGTGGATTTAGAGTGCAAAATATAACGTTAAAAATTAAAAAAAAAAAAGACAACAAAAAAAATTAGAAGTATCAAAAAAAAAAAATTTAGCTTTTTTTTTTAAATTAGGGTAAACATGTCATGTCAAGCTATATATGGTTATATATTTTATACTGAATGGAGGGGCAGTTTTGGCATTTTAAAGAAAGTTAACGGTCAAACTTCAATTAATTTTCACCGTCAACTAATAGAAAGGGTGTCTTTATATTTTTTTAAAAAAATCGTTGATGTTATTAATTTTGATAAAGGCATGTTTTTGTTATTTTAATAAAATATAAGGGGTGTTAATATAATAAGCTCGTTATTGTATTGCGCTTGGTGTAATTTGACGAAAATTGAACTAGGATTATTTTATGTGCCATATAATATATGTGTGTGTGTGTGTGTGTGTGTGTTTATATTTCTATGCAGAGGGATGAACAACTAAACCCGTCTTTGTGGGAGGAATTAGTTATTGTCCCTTCAAGGGACAATTTTCTTACAGGGGACAACTAATCTACTCGTCGGGGTTTTTTTTTTTTTTGATAATTAATCTATTCGTGGGGTTCAACGTCAAATGTGGAAATGGAAAATCTTTTGCAATCTCACCCTTTTACCCGGTCTTACCAAACAAGACCAAAGTGATCTCTCTCTCTCTCTCTCTCTCCACATCCTGATCCGTAAGAATATACGTGATATTTGGCCATTTTAAAAGGATCAAATGATTCAATTTCTACAAACAAATAATTTTCCTTTACTGAAGCAAATGCCAACACTTGCTTACAAACTACTGGAAAACCCTTTTTGTTCTTTTTCTTCTACAGCTGAAGATCGAACAATATTTTATTATTATTATTTCTAAAACCATAAACGCCATTTTTTTATCCCCTTTTAAACTGATTCAGAACACCTTTTTTTGTTTTTTGTTTTTTGTTTTTTGTTTTGTTGCTTTTTGAGCTTATTTATTTCCATGCAACACTTGTTTCTTGTCACTATATAAGAACACCTACGCAGCTTTCCTTTGAGACGCATTCTATTGAAGACACAAACGCAAAGTTCTCCTTGTCTTTGTATGAAACATTTTCCTCCTCAGAAACGCATTCTTCTGCACCCAAAAAAAAAAAAAAAAAAAACTTCTGACAAAAATGAAGAGCCAATATAGCTGTAAATGGCTATTTCTCCTCCTGATCCTCACCACCTTCGGTGATTCCTATGCAAAAGAAGCAAAACCCATCTCAGATATCCTCACTTTTAGCCACTTTCTCAACAAAACTAATGAATGGATCATTCTCAACACAAGACCGCCTATTGAAGCCAAACTAGAATTGTCAACCCCTATTGTTCTTGCAGGCTTTCTCTGCTTCATTGCAGCCTCTATATCGAGCGCCGGAGGGGTCGGGGGCGGCGGGCTTTTCATACCAATAATGACCATAACAGCAGGCGTGGACCTCAAAACAGCCTCAAGCTTCTCGGCCTTCATGGTCACGGGGGCTTCGATCGCGAATGTCGTGTGCAACTTGGCCTCGGCGATTCCCAGATTTGCTGGTAAATCACTTATTGACTTCGACATAGCGTTGCTTTCGCAGCCTTCTATGTTGCTCGGGGTCAGTGTTGGAGTCATTTGCAACGTTATGTTCCCGGAGTGGCTTGTGACTATACTATTTGCTGTTTTTCTGGCTTGGTCTACCTCAAAGACGTGGAGAAACGGGGTCATGTGTTGGAAGCTGGAAACAGAAGTGAAGAGGCTCAGAAAAGGGTGTGGAGAATTGGAGAATGGATTGAGTGAAGATGTCAAATTAAGTAGTATTAAAGAACCCCTCTTGGGTAGTGATCATCAATTACGGAAGTGTCAATATAGACTTCCATGGATGAAACTTGGGGTAGTGGTTCTAATTTGGTGCTCCTTTTGCTTTGTGTACCTTCTTCGCGGCAATCGTTATGGAGAGGTAACATGCCAGCTCTTCTTTAGTCTTCCTTTAAGTTTTCTATTTACTACAAAAATGGCAATAACTTTGTTGCGTTGTTTTTTACTTAGTTTGAGTACTATAATGATGATATATTAATAAGTCACATTCACATACATGTATATATATAATTCGGAAGTTAGTACTTAATGTTATCATTTTAGCACGGAACATTGTTGTAACTTCTAATCCTAGGACTATGCTACTCCAGAGAAATGTAGATTCGGAGGGGGACATGGTATATGCTTAAGAAGGTTCTCTATGTTACTTTTTTCTTTAGTAATTAACTAATCTGTGACCGTTCATGTTAATTCTTGAGGATAATTTTTCCCTCTAATGTCAACATCTTATCTTGGTCGAGTAATTAGAAATAGTTTACTATACCTTTTTGATAAAGAATTGCAGACCAGAAATATATGTAGAGCGTGGTGCTAGACAAGTGGAGTTTGGACCACGCCAGTTCGTATTTATCTCTTATTTTGTTATACAACTTGAAGCAAATAAGTAAGCAAGATACTCCAAATTAAACCTGGGATTGGCATAGGAAAAGGCTAATTGCCTGCACTCTCCACTTCTTGATTTTCTAGCTCAAATTTTGACCTTTTATACACATATACGCGTGTGTGTGTGTGTGTGTGTAGAGAGAGAGAGAGAGAGAGAGAGAGAGCTCTTCAATAACTATTACGCCGTTCAAAGCTTTCTCTGTTTGTTGTTTTGCAAATGTGAGAATCAGACGGCAATCAATTCGGAGTGTATAAGAGCAAGAAAACACATCTCACATGTATGTGCCTGTCCAAATTATTTGCAGGGAATTACACCAATAGAGCCTTGTGGAGTGGGTTATTGGTTACTATCTTCCTTCCAAATTCCGCTTGCCATAGTTTACACTGCCTGGATTTTATGCAGAAAAGACAGCTCTCAAAATCAAAACTTGAATCAGAAGGTACTTTTAGATAAAATGAGAATTACTTGGCATTGATTTTCATTTGTCAAAAACAAGATTATATGTCCATTTCTTCTTGCTAAAAAGATTAATTTTTCTCAATATCTTTGTGAAGAACGTCATGGAAAACCTGACTCAAGTTGGACAGTCAAAGAAACTCATATTCCCACTAATGGCGTTACTAGCAGGGATGCTGGGCGGTGTCTTTGGGATTGGAGGTGGAATGCTCATAAGCCCCCTTCTTCTACAAGTTGGAGTAGCACCTGAGGTAAATACACAACTATATTTTCACCTCAAACTGTATCTTGAAAGCGTGGTCTTGACTTCCAAAAATCTCTTTCTGCAGGTAACAGCAGCAACTTGTTCATTCATGGTTTTCTTCTCGTCGACAATGTCGGCGTTTCAGTATTTGTTTTTGGGCATGGAACACACAGACGTTGCGCTCATCTTCGCCGCCGTTTGTTTTGTTGCGTCACTCCTCGGATTGGTAGTGGTTCAGAAAGCTATTCAAGAATATGGAAGAGCATCTCTTATTGTATTCTCAGTTGGTATTGTAATGGCTCTCAGTACTGTTCTGATGACTACCTTTGGGGCTCTTGATGTCTGGAGAGATTATATCTCCGGTGAGTACATGGGGTTCAAACGGCCCTGTTAGAAACAGTTTTTGCAGTTAGGCTCTTTATGTCGAGTCTATAGCTCGTGTTAATGACGGTGAGAGGATAAATATGAAATTTTGGCTGTATGTTAGCAACGGTGTTTCTAATCAACTAAATAAACAAATAAGATGAGTCAACTTAAAAGTTCACATTCTGCAAAAGAAAAAGTGAATGACAATAAAAGTCGGATTATTACATTACAATTCTAACCAATCCCTCCAAATGTTTCTACATTTATAATGCTCAGCAACATTTGTTATACAATTATCAAAATTGGCAAACCAAATTTCCCAAAATTGTCGACCAGCAGCTCATACAAGTTACCCCAGCTACCAATAAAAGTATCCAATTCCTCTATCATCATTCTCACAGAGATAAACCATCAGTACCCCCAAGAAAACACATTTACAAGTAGAGAAAATGGCTCCCTACTCCACATGTGCAGACCTAAAAAAAAAAAAAAACAAACAAACAAAGCCTGCCAAGTGCCAAGTTATGCAACCGGAGGGCGAAGAACATGGTCTTGAGAGGTATCAACAGCAGCCGGTGGCATGAACTGCCACATCGAAATTCCAGGGTACCCTACGAAAGGCATCAGCTTGCCGCCGACAACTTGGCCTGGACCAGGAAATGGAGGTGGTATTGCAGGAGGGTGCAGGAAACTCGGTTGTGTAGTCAGGGCTTTTACTTGTTTATCAAGGACATCTTTCTCTGCCTTTAGCCTCTGCTTCTCATCTCGAAGTTCATTCTTCTCAGCCTACACAAAGAAAGCTCAACCCAAACCACAAATAAATCAATATCTAAGGTTTCAGTTTCTTTGCGAATTGTCACACCACTTGCCACTTGGATAAATGAATCAAACACACACCTTATATTAATGGAATTGTAAAAACCAAACACTGACTAAATCGAGGGAGGGAAACCTTTAGTTCGTTTATCTTCTCCTGCAATTTCTCATTTGATTCCTTTAGCTTCTCAGCTTCCATCCGTAAATGGGTCACCATTCGAACAGCATCACCCAATATGACAGCCTTGTCCATTTTAGGAGGCCTTCCGGGCTCCGAAATGGAACCCAATTCTAGGAACCTACAAAACATGAGAATGTCAACAAGAAAGAATATGAAAAGAGAAAGAAAGAGGGAGAGAATCATAGAATTCGACGATGCCTGTCATTGAGTCTGTCCCTCCTCATTTTCTCCCTACATGCCTTCGACCCAGACGCACCGCATGATCCAGGCCTCACCCTGTAATAGAATAAGTTTTCACATGCTTGTTATTGAGAAAACAGGACAGATGAGAAGTGACCCAATTGAAATTGATAATCCATGAAGATCTAAAATGACTAGAAATCTAAGAAAAGTTGACACAACTCGCAGGAAAAGAAAACACAAAATCTGCAACAAGAAGGTACTAGTACAGATAACTATCACATCTCACTTTAACAAGTCAATAAGATTGAAAAGTATGTTTATACCTTTTCCGACACCCAGCTTCCTTAAAGCCATCTGAGTTGGCCAAAGACTCATCAAAGTCCGCACTGAGAAAATAACAAGAACGAAAAAATGAGCTCTTGTGCATAACAGGTAGTTGAACTTGATCTTGACATATTGCTGAGAGCAAATTGTCAATCAAACAAATTGTTAGAGAGAAAAAAAAAACAAAAAAAAACAAAAAAACAAACAAACAAACAAATTGAACTTCGCAAAAATCCTTGAGTTATAGTCATAGATAATCAAGTTTTGCTTAAAAAGTTGAAACCTTGATAAGAGGCTGAGAAGTTGAAGTTGGGATAATACTCATACAGCGGAAATTCATTATTTAAGTTCAGACGTCTCCTTTTCATGTGTTCAGCACCCGAACGGGAACATTATGAATATATGAATAAATATATAAAAAAAGTGGAAATTTGACTTACTAAATTTCATAGTAAACTCTAGAAAACTATAATAACTCAGTTCTCACCCCTCATCAAAAAAAAAAAAAAAAAAAAAGCCACCAGGAAAATTAAGAATAATGATTAAAAAAGTATAATTAATCCTATCAACTTAAAATATCCAACACTAACAAAAGAAAAGGAAAAAGTCACACGCTTGTCAACATAAAATGATTAAATTCTAACTGAAAAACTTAATCGTTGCAAGAAAATCCAAACACAGAAAATTAAAAGAATGTGAAAGCACCTGACAGTAGTCGGAGGCGTGAAAGAATGAGAAGGCCAAGGGAAACTGGGAGGGTCAAGAGCGGGAAGGCCGCCGCCGGGGATGGGAAGGTCCTCTATCAAGCTGTAATCGAAGACCCAATTGGGATTCTCCGGCGAGCCCATCGGAAAGTCAGAATTTTGTCTCCGGCGAGTGATTCCTTCTTGCGAGGGCTACGCCGCCGTGAGTGGTGGTTTGCTGGGAGGAAAACGGAAAAAAATAAAATAAAAAGGGAAAAAAGAAAAAGGGGAAGAATATGGAATGGAATGATATGATAATAGCTAGGAACAAAAATGAGAGAATTTGATTGGTTAGATTGGTATTGGTTAAGCTATGAATTGGGAGAAAGAAAGGTGGGGGAGAGGGTGGGGGAGAGGCCAGAGGGTGGGGGTGGGGGTGGGGTATAAGGGAAAAGCCAAAAAGGTGGATTTGAGAGAGTCCCATATCTCCACCACCACCACAGGTAGTGTTTCATAGAATCAATCTCTTTTTTTTTTTTTTCAGCGCCAAAAAAAAAATATTTACCTTTTTAATTACCTTTTTATTTTCTTCTTTTTCTCTTTTTATTTTTGATTTATCTAGCCTCTCAAAATTTACTCAAAAGTATTGCCAGAATTTTGGATTTGCGACTGTTTGAAAAAATTAAATTTGTGTTTGTTGCTCGAACTTATTTTGAGAAATTTAGGCTGCCCGTTCGAATCTAAAAAATCACTTGAACTGACTTCAGACAGGTCTTAATTACTTAAAGTCTGGTCGGCAGTCCGAATCTAAATAATATTATGTATTATTTATTAATTATAAAGAATCACTTATGGCCTCTAATGCAAAAAATTTTTACTTCTTCCATTCCTCACTTGTTTATATTATTTTTTTGAATTTTTTATTTTTAATGTTAGCATCCTTATTTTTTTTAATTATTTGAACTGTGGCATGAATGGCTGAGTATAATATCAGAATAAGTTGCAACCTTGTTATTATTTGAACGTTTTATGGACTATCATTCATATTGCTAAAATTCTGACATAGGAAATGTTCATTATGGTATGTTATAGTTGGAAAAAAAATGATAATAATAATCCTCATGGTTAATTGGCAGTTTGAGGTGTTTGGTTACCAACTTACCATGCTTTTCAGGGACATTTTCATATTGGGTGTATTGAACTTCTAATTTCTTTTATAATCGGTTTGATGCTTTCCCAAATTCCAGTTGTGTTATGTCTTCATGCATTCTTCATTTGTGGCCTCTTATACTTATTAAAGCTTATTATATCATAATTGATTGCGTACTTGACTTTTAGCCTTGCAGTTTCAGTATGATAAAAGCAAATATTATGATTTTCGTATTGTATATTGTCATGACTTGGATTTACTTCAGTATTGAACACTCAAGAAAGGTTACTTCACGGCTTTTATTAGTTAATGTCATATATGAATATGTTTTGGATGCAGTAATTCAGGCGGGTCGGGCCGGGCTTTCGGGCAACAGTAAAAAAAAAAAACCGTTATTCTCAGGCTTTCGGGCGGCATGTCAGGTCGGGCATAACATTCAAACAACAAAAAGAGCTGTTGGCGGGGCTCTTGGTTGGGCTTTCGAGAGGCAGTACGGCAGGCTTAAGGGCAGGCTTCAGGCTTGGAGGTTTGAACGGACGGAGATTTTTATTGAACCTCAAATTTTCAGGCTGCCCGAGCCCAAGCCCAGCTACCCTCGCTGGACAGGCGAACAACGGGGCCTGCCCGTCGAGCCCGAAAAAATTCAGGCTTCAGGCAAGTCCGCCGCCTAAAGTTTCAACACTACTCAAAAGTATCTTTAATGCAATATTAAATTGATGTGTTAGAGTCAAATAGCATTTGAGTAGAAAATTTTCTCTCTAATACATTATTATTCTTAGTGTTGAATTATTTTAACATCAAAATTGCACTTTCACAACATCTAAAATTAAATGACTATACTTCAAAAAAAAAATAATGACTTACAAAAAAATTAGATATTATAAATATATTAAAGAAAAGAAGGGGTTTACTGTTCACATAGTAACATTCAAAATGTAATACATATATTGGAGGTCAAACAAAAATAACATATTAAATATGTAATTTTCATATTTTTCCGTGGGTAGGCCCAACCACCACACTGCACGTATAGACGCGAACCCCTCTCGTTACCCTACGTGCGACTCTCACCGCATACGGCTCGCACAAAGACTCCTAAATCCATCCCGAGCCTTTTCTTCCACCTCTCCTCTCCAATCCTCGATCAAACTTGCGTTCCCCAGGTGCTATGAAATGCCAGTATGCTTCAATTTCTTGAGTGAGTCTCTTTGGAGAAGAAGGCTCCGACAAGAGTGATTGCGCCAATTCATTCATTAAAGAAAGATTAGCGCTTGCTAATTATAAGAGTGTCATACTCAATCAATTAAGGATAGACTCAGACAGTCTTAGCTACAATCTCTGCCCTTACTTGAGTATCTTCCTTATCGTCTGAAAACAGAATAGTCTTTTATCGAATCGTCTCTTTTCAAGGGAATAAGAGTGAAGGATAATGCGCGTCGTCGTCTTCTGAGGAGACATTTATATTAAAGATGGTATAATATGTAGCATCATATAATTGAAATTTTATATCACACATATGGTTGAATTTAGATATATAATGACGTTATAATTCTTAATAATGATCTGAGAATTTTTATTTTAATAAAATAATGATATTCAATTTAGAGAAACAAACCGCAAATGAAATTTACAATTTGAGGGTGACACAAAGTGCAATGCGACAAATCAATTGCCCAAGTAATAGAATAGATATCAAAATTATTTCGATTTCGTGAGTATAACTATAATTCCACGATTTAAGGTTTATTATTTGTTACTTTTCGGTTTCAACATCAAGGGGATGAATTAAGGACAGTAATATTATTAAAGATTTTGTGTTAGTTATATAATAAAAATAAAATGAATTGACTCTTTTAAGTGTGAGTTAGTATTCAAAAATAATACTTGTGGAGTTGTACTTGAATACATTATTATTCTAAATATTCTAAAGGAGACTCTTCGGCTTTATTGTTTATTGTACAATGTTATGAACAGTGAACTTCCGCTTTTAACCTTTTAAATGTGTATTTACGGATTTGTCTTTTATTGTTTGTTTATGGGAAATTTCTATTGATGTCATTTTTGTCTATTTATGGGTTTTTTTTTAATATTTTTTACAGAATGGGAAACAGCTTGATGCCTGATGGGTTGAATTGTGTTTCTTCTCATTGATTTGGAGAGTTCATTCTCTTATTTAAATCATAATTTATAATTTATTATAGTATTTTTTTTTATAAAAAATACACATAAATCTCATAGTTAACCACTCTTAATATTTTCCACCGTCTAAAGTCTCATTCTCTTTCCTCTGAAAGTTTTTGCTCTCTGCATTTCTTCTCTCATTCTTCCCTTTTCCTTTTGCTTTATATTATATGCGCAGATCTGATTTTGTTTCTCTTTTGTCCGTTAGGAATTTTTTCCTTCTTCGTTTTTCCCCGATCTGATATATTTTGTTACTGTTTATTCTCTTTGATTTTTTTTTTGCCTTTTGGGTATATTTTTTTCGCGATTTTGATGCTTTGATTTTTTCTTTACTTCTTTCGATCTTGCTCTATGCATTTCTTCTCCCATTCTTTCATTTTCGTTTTGCTTTATATTATTTGCACAGATCTAATTTTGTTTCTCTTTTGTCCGTTAGAAATTTTTTTCTTCTTCGTTTTTCCCCAATCTGATTTATTTTGTCACTATTTATTCTCTTTGATTTTTTTTTTCCTTTTGGGTACTTTTTTTTACGATTTTACTGATTTGATTTTTTCTCTACTTATTTCGATATTTTTTTTTGTATTTTTGTACTGCCTCTTCTATATTTTTTTTATTCCATTTGAGTTTTTTTTTCTGGATTTTACTGGTTCGATTTTTTCCTCTGCCGCTTAATTCTTTCATTCTTTCCTTCTTTTTCTGCTTTATATTATGTGGACAAATATGATTATGTTGCTTCGATTTTTTTCCTAATTTTTTCGATCCTTTTTTTAATGCTATTTCTATCTTTAGTACTTCTTCTGTATGTTTTTTTTTTCTCTCTTCATTTTAGTTTTTTTGGAGTTTTTTTACGCTGATGTTTTTATATTTTTCGAAACCATTTCATTATTCTTTTTTTATGATTTTTTTTGGGGAATTTTTTTTTCTCTTTATGTTTTCTTTGGTGGTAATGATTTTTTATTTTATGTACTAATTCGTTATTTTTTTATTATAATGTGTGTTATTATATTTTTCATAATTTTTATAATTTTCTTCTGTCTACACATATGTTTTTTTGGTTCTGTACTGCTTTAGTTTCTATCGTTTTTCATATTATTATTTATTATTTGTATATATTTATTTTCCTCTCCTTAATTTTTTGCTATCATTTTGGATTTATTTACATAATTTTTTTAATGCGTCTTTTTTTCCTTTGGGGGTTTTATTAAATTTTTTAAGATTTTTGTTTGAGTTTGTTTCTTTTCACTTTATGTAATTTTTTTCCTTTATTAGTTATTTCTGATTTGTTACTACTTTTGTTATAGTTTGAGCCGTATATTCAATTTTCTTCCTTTTTGTATAACATATATCTAATATGTTAGTGTCAGTTATTTATTGGTTTTGTTTTGCGGTGAAACTCATGCTTCATGACATCTGCCGTAATATACTTATTATTCTAATTGATATTTTTTTGCAGGTGTTTATATGGGAGATTGCGCAAGCTTTATGACTATTATATTATGACACATACACTTCATCTCTTTTAGTTCTGTTTAATGCAAATCTAATATTTTATTGTTGGTTGTTTATTGGTTGTATTTTACAGTGCGATCCATGCTTAATGACACTTGCCGTAGTATAATCATTACTTTCATTGATATTTTTTTGCATGTTTTCGTTTCAGTCTTCTATCAAGATTTCAGTTACCTCATGTCTATATATATGTGTTCATTTTATGTTCTTTCTTCACCTGTTACATTTTATCCTTCCTATTCTATTTTCTTACAGTTTAAAAGTATTATTCATATTAGACTTTTCATAATATTATTACTACCTCTTTGATAATATGTTTCTTTTTCATTTCCAATATTTAGTCTTCTCTTATATATGTTTTATTTGGTGTACTTCTTTGTAAAAGGTAATATATTTTTACTTATTATATATCTTTCTCTGTCTTAAAATATTGATTTATGCTATTATCTCCATCGATTATATGAATTTACTTATTCATTAAGTCATTTACTAATGTTTATATTTTTTCTGACCCTCTTTTATTTTATACGTGTTGCCCGAGTTATTATGGTTTTATGCCTTTATCTTTTAACTTTTTTATTCA